TATTATAATTCTACTACTAATTTATCACGCTTCCATTCTCCACGTATCAGTGCCGGCAAATCAGAAACAAATTTCCGGTGAAAAAATTACGAAAAACCATTAAATACGCGTATCACAGCAAAATCTAATATAACCGTAAACTCAATGCAACAATTTGTTCATCTTTCGTGAAAGTAAAATTTCCAAAATAAACAATCAAATTATCAACAATTTTCCCCACATCGTTGATTTACCATCACAATTAGCGGTCCTAACCTAGTCCACTCTCTCTCCGTTCCCTGGGGTACAAAAACCCCGCGCGATTAATTCATAAACTGAGATCAACTCGCAAACAGGTTGATGAACAGAACCGAAAGAAAACTCTCACACACGCGAGAATCCCGGTCCCGCGGCTCCTCGATGCATAATCAGCAGGCACAAACACGACGTTTCATCACCAGCACGCTACACCGTACCTTCTTCTATCCCTGTTGGCCCAGCTTGCGTCGCCGACGTTTCCCATTGGCCAGATCCAGTAAACGCCGCGTGGAACCTCGTTAGAAGAACTATAGCGCCTTCAGCAGCGCCACCATCCCTGCCATTAAGAACATTCCCTGCTCATGAATCCGCGAGGACTTGGACGCGATTATCAGATCAGGCTCTGTCCAATTGGCGTCCGTGTCGTCCAGGCATTCGAACTCACAGCACCGTTCTCCGACTCGAAACTTCTTGCATCTCTGCGGACAGAGGGGATCGGTTCATCGGTCAACTGCCATTCAACCACCTTTCGAACTGGAATCCAGGCCACAGATATGGAATAGAATGGAAAAATGTGGTGCATGCTGTAGGAATAGGTGGAGGGAGTTGAGTGAATGAGCGAATGAATGAATGAGATGTCGGTGGCTTTCTTTTCTGTAGAGAGTTGCATGTTTGTGAATGGACCGCTTTAGGTTAGATTCAGATGTGGGACGATTTTCAAGCACTTCAGAGTTGTTGGACAAACGTTTTTTAAGTGTATTGTGGTTTTTTATTGTGGGTCCAGTGAGTGTGTGATGTATGTTTGATTGTATTGTACTGTTAATATTGTCGATTATACGAGGATACAATGTATTGTTGATGATGTGGATAAGAATGTAAGCTGTATATAAAAGAGATTGAAGTAATTATCGTGAGTACGTGAGTAATGTTCTTTTTTATCTTTTATGGTAATATATTTATGGCAGTGTAAATAGTTTTTGAAATTAAGTTAAATAAAGATTTAATTATTTAATTACATATGGCATTTTGTTTCCCAAAATCATTGGAATATCAAAACATTGCATATCAAAGAACTTCCAATAAGTAAACAGATAAAAAATAAAATAAAAATCTAGAACCTAATTTTGAAACCATATCTATAACTTCAAAAGTTCAAAAAGCATCTTTATGAAAAATTTTATGATTACAAAACTGGACATACTTTTAAAAATTAATTACATCTTACATAAAGTTGAAAAAAACATTGAATTCATCATAGTTCAATTAATTTTAATTCAATACTGCAAAGTTCCAATATTTTTTTAATTTAGACATTTAATACAATAGGAAGTTCAAAGTGGTCACTGACTAAAAACTAAATTACCTTACATGTATGTATGTAACCGTAAAAACTACGCTGTTGCAGATAAAGTTTTGCGTCAGTGGCGCTCAGTTGGCGTCACAACCTTTAAACTTTGCCACACTCTCGCCCGTAGCAAGAAATTCTTGCCGAAGCATATTTTATTGTTACGATCCAACTAGGTCTTTGTGTTTCTTTCTCTTTTTTTTTTTTGCTCCAATTCCAACATTGTTTTTTCAAGGTTATTATCGGTGACCTGGTCATTGAGTTTATTGTAACGATAAACGTAAGTATATTTTCAGAACAGTTTCTTGCTATGGCGTACTGTAGTGATAAAGTTTGAAGGTGGATCGATTCCATGAATGTTGTAAAGCAAACTTGTAATTACCACTGGCGCGAAATTATGACTTGGTATATAAAAAATACCTTGAAAGTGTATTCAGAATTTCATATAAATTCGATTTAACCTCACTTTCGAAATATGTATAGATAATTTTTACTTTAACACAGTCTACGGGCTAAGTAATATGTCAGGGTGGAAACAATTTAAGTTATTACTTACCAGGGTAAACAGACATATATTTCAAGGTACGTAAGTATAACTACAGTCGTATACATACATATAATACTTTGAAGGATAAGTACCAAAGAGAACACATCAGACGAACTGGCATATTGACCTAGGACTTGGAACACTATTTATTTAACATCGTTGATTCAAAGTTACGAAATTAGAAGATAATATACGAGATACAAAATTCTGTTATTTATTTCCTTGATGTAAATTACTGCAATGGTTATGTTTATTCTCGATTGAAAATCGCGATCAGTTAATACAAAATACAGGCTATATGTACTATGAAAATTTTGCTTAGTTGATTTTACTTTCCATGTAATAAATCACTCCACCATTTAACACATCATATAATCTTCATAACCTCACAAACCACTGTACTGATATCTGTCAAAGACAAGTTCAATCTACATCGATCGACGATATTTCATCGATGTTAACCCTAAAGCGTCTTCCACTATTATGCTTCGAAAAACGCCGCAACCAATCACGTCTTCGTTCATCATCGGCAGCGCCAATCAGCGACGTGCTACTCTCGACACATTATCCCAGCGAGGAAATATCAGCGTCGAGTTGCATGTCCGACGGCATAACGTTTTCGGTTGTTCTCCTGGGGGCTCGATCAGTGACACACATGACGCTTGTTCAGACATATACACATAGCGCACATGGATACACTTGGCTCGAAGCCTGCTTACGTGCACGTTGTATTAAGATATTCTTGCATACCCGAACCGATTGTCAAGAAGAAATAAAAGTATAGTAAAACGAAACCTTGTATTTTGTGGAGTGATTCGTGCTCGCAATGTGCTCGCGGCGATTTTCCTCTCTTCTGCAGTCCGCGCAATTCGTCCGCAGTGGCCTCGTGCTTCGCGTTGTGCGTTTCATCGCAGCTGACTGAACGTAATTATTCGCGGGCCGATTCCACTGTGAGAACGCAACGATTATCGTTGTAACGTGTATATGCGGAAAACGAGCATGCGAACAAAGGGCTACGCTTATAGTATAGGAATGTTTCGTTGTTTGGAGGTTAGGTGGAAAGAGAGGCTTTTGACGGTTCGATTGTGGAAGTGGCGATGGTAATAACTGATTGTGCGAGCATTTGTATTTATAATATTTACAATATTTGTAATAGTACAGCAGAATAGATGATTTAAGGAAATTTGAGAAACAAAAACATGAAGGAAAAATTGTGATATGTATACAGGGTGTCTCACTCATAATGAATATTTAAATTATTTAGTTACTGCAAGTAAGACAACATTACTAAGAGAAATTTATATGGTTTCAGAACGTGTACACTGGTGATGATAAAAAAAAAAAAACACTTTGTACAACATTGTAATGTACGAAAGATCAATTTTTTACATCATATACTTTTGTCTGAATAAATATACTACGATATAAATATCAAATGTTCGTAAAGTATCATACTTTCTATCCTACAAACCTTCAAAAGATTCTTAGCCACGATATTGTACCACAGTAAAACCTATTTTCTATTTTCGTTGCGAAACTGGTACGACCGAAGCAAGAACAGTTCAACGAAATCTAGTCGGGCTATCGTGCAGGTATCGCAGGTTCTGCGTTAGGGAGCACGCAACTACCAGTCTCGTCGTTTCTTGTAAACCAGCGAAAGATATTGTAATCATGCGGAATTACCATAAAACTCGTCGTATGTGCCGGCCACGATGGCCTGAATGCTGAGTATAGCGGGAACGACGCGGCACGTGCTACGCGATTCGAGACAACGTTCCATTCGTCCTCCAATTGTGTATTTAAATAGAGACGAAAGTTGCGATAGGATCAAAGATTTGTTTGCTTGAGAATACTATATTAATTCAAGAGTAGAAAATGACATTCATCGTTCTGTTAACATAATTAGGTTAGGTTGGCGTGTATTCGACTTCTGTGAATGTACTTTAAATTTCTAATGCTTATTTACTCAAAAGTACATAACCTTCATTTCATAACTATGACATAAATTCATAGTCGATAAAAACTACCACGTGAAATAACTCGTTATTTATTAATTTTATCAACTAATGTTTTATACGAAATACATTAATTTTCTTGTACCTTACATTTTTTTAAATATTAAAGAATATAAAACATTTTTTTTTTTTTTCATGAAATCAGTAAATAACGAGTTATATCACGTGGCATTTTTTATGAAAAAACAAACAGATTACTTAACCTTTCCACTCCAAGTATCGCTTCAAATGCCATCAAAAAGAAACCCGGTGCCAGTTTCCTCTAAACGTATGTATGCTACAACTTATTTACGCGCAAACAAACGTTACTTTTGAACGAGCCGTGTATTTACAGTGCGCCATTAGCAAAGAAACGGCGCGCGTATGTGTGTGTGTGTGTGGTATCGATTTTGCGCGTTCGCCACGTAAACACCGGGAATTGTGGGTTGAAATTGAATTTGCGCCGCGGTGTTGACGTTTCGACGGCAATTATTCAAAAAACATCGCGCGTCACACGATTCACGGCACGCGTAATCCTCCTATCGGGAATAGGATTGCCTCGATTAAGCTTAGACTCGGGGAAACCCGTGAGAATTTTCCACGATAAGCAACTATGTAGGTGTATTACATAAAACGATTCTGACCTTTGCCGCGCTCGACTTTGCGAGTACTTATCTCTTTAAAGGAATATGGAGGATAATGGCGCGTGACCGTGAACGGGATGATTGTTCGTGCAAAAGTAAATTGGAAATGGGACGTGAAAGTTTTCGTCGGTGGATTTTTCTTTTCGTTCAACGGAGATAATTAATTTTGAAGAAGCCTGCGGCGTCTGCATTTGATTTACAATGGTCGAGAGTGGGAATGTAATTGTTTACGCAAAAAATTTTTTTACAATATTTTTTTAATATCAATACTTTTCAAAAATGTGCAAATTCGTCGAGAATGTAGTTTTATATTTAACAGAAGGAAAACGAAGGAATAAACGAACCATTCAAACACGCACGATAATTCTCGCACAGATGATCCTAACCCCGAATATTTACGAAATTGAAATGAGGCAGGAATATTAACTACGGAACCCAGTCAAGTGCACGTGTACTTGAAAACGTGTCTGGAAATTAATGTTTTCTGAAACGTACCCTCATTCTCCATTTCCAATTTATTTGCCCTCATTATTCCTGCTATATTTCATTGAAACGAATTGAGTATTTTCATAAAAAAAACTGCATATTTTAATAATCCCTACTATATCTACTCTGCTCGCCCGTTTAAAAATCTAACCTCAAAAAAAAAGTAATAAAAAACATTTCGATAAAACAAAAAATAATTTCTTGATAAATTCCTATTAACAAATCTCCACCCATTACCGTAACAAATACTTTTGTTACTTTTCTTATACAGTGTGTCCAATTTCTTGTGTTCAATGTCACCTCAAGAACATAACTCATGTGTGCTTAAACGTAAGTTTAAGATAACATTCGTTACATGATGCAATACAGAAAAATATACGTTTTCCTGTAAAATAAAATTACCAGTGATGTTGAAAAAATTAGAAACAATTACCGTAAAAAATTTCCTTCCGCAGTATTCTAA